AGCTGACACCAAGTACTTGTCCTAGGAGCTCGCAATCCAATCCGACACATGACAGCTAAATCAGAAGCCGGCGAGTGGAGACATGACAGGGACCAGCACCCCCCTTCCACACCACTGTGCTGTGATTGGGGACCACCTAGTCATCCCCATCCTCACCATCACTTCTCTTATGGTGGCCACACATGCTGCAATTGTTTACAAATCTGATCATTCCAATCAAAAGGATCGAATCCACATGGAACAGCCAAGACGTCCCTCACTGCCAATTTACATCAGACTTCGACCGGGGAGGAATATTATCCATGTCTTCCATCGAGATCCCCTGACGGTACTCCGCCGTCATCATCATCCCCATCACTTTCTTTTATCAACCCAATCATTACCCTTTCCTCTGTCATCACCATCCTCACCCTCATCATCCTATTATTTTTCACATTCATCTTTGTTCTCTACTGTCATCATCCTGACCATCATCATCCTCATCCCCCTTTATCGTCCTTATCAGTGTCCTCTATTCTGTCATCATCATCCTTATCCTCACCATAGCCATCACCCCTCTTATCATCCTCATCAGTATCTTCCCTACTGTCATGGCCATCCTCATCCTTACTATTCTCATCATCATCCACACCATTGTTCATCGTCCTCAACTTTATACTCTCTACTGTTATCATCATCCTCATCATCAGTTCCCTATATCATCCTTATCAGTAACCTCTATAATGTCATCACCATCCTCACCCTCATTATCCACATCATGATCATAATCCTTATTATTTTTTCTCTATATTGTCACCACCATCCCCATCCTCTCCATCACTTTTCTCACATTCCCCATTGTAGTATGTCATCTCTGTCCTCATCATCTTTTGATCATTATCCTGATCACTTCACTTTCATCATCACCATCCTCACCATTATTAATCATCCTCATCTTTATCCTCTTTACTGTCATCACCATCCTCATTATCCTCACCATAATTATTATCATTGTTTCCCTACATCATCCTTAACAGTATGTTCTCTACTATCATCACCATCCTCACCATCATTATATCCATCCTGAACACAACCATCCTCATCATTATCATCCTTATTTGTCCTCTGTACTGTCATCACCATCATCCTCATCTTTATCCTTTCTACTGCCATTATCCTCCTCATCAATATCCTCACCACCATCATCATCATCAGTATCCTCCTCCTCATCATCCTCACCACCATTATCCTCATCCTCTTATATCATTCTTATCAGTATCCTCTATACTGCCATCACCATCCTCACCATCATGATCTTCATCCTCCTCATTATTCACTATATTGTCACCATCATCCTCATCCTCACTTCCCCCTTCCTGTACATGATCCCTGTCATTAATGTCCTCAGCATCCTTTTATCCTCATCACTTTCCTTTACCATCCTCTGTCATCTCCATCCTCACCATTTCTTCCTCTCCTTTCATCCTCCTCACGTGTCTTTCTGGTCTTCATCCTCTTTGCTGTCATCCTCACTCCCCCCATTCTTATACATGATCCCCGTCATCTCTGTCCTCATCATCCTTCACTTGTCTTGCTCTCCCCTTCCTCCCTTCACTGTCATCTCCGTCCTCCTCATCCCTTCTCTCCTCCCCCCCCCCCCCCCCGACTTCTTATTGTTATCCCGATCCCCTCTCTGTTGTGCTCACCTGGTGGGGCTCCGGGCGGGCGGGAGGGGCCCCCGGGAGGGTCTCCAGTCGGCAGCTCAGGAAGAGGAGGACGAGGATGGCGCCCCACATCACTGATCGCCCGGCCGGGTCACTCTGCGCCCATCTCTGCGGGCGGGGCGGAGTCAGGGGCGGTGACGTCACTCTCCGGGGCGGTGCCGAGATGGACGGAGAAGGCGGTCACGTGTTCCATGGGACTTGCCGGCGGCGGCTTTGTCCGGACATGGGGGAGGGGCCGTTATCGGTCTCATGCCATCCTCCGAGCGCTCCTCCCGGCACCGGCGCTCGGTTGGGGTTCCGGTACATCAGGCGGAGATCCTCCTTGCCTGCAGAACAGAGCTCTGGCCGCCGTCTGTGACTCCTCGGGGGCGGAGCAGGAGCTCCACGTGGGCAATGCTACCACTGTGTGGGTGGGGCTAGAACCAAGAGCGCCAATCATCTGCTAAGTTTTTAGGGGCGAGGATAGGGTTGGTTGATGTGCATTGTGTGTAAAGGCTGGGAGCACTGCTGGCCCTCAACTCGAATTGTCTCGGAGAGCCGCCTTAAGTTCGATGATCCCCGAATATTGATGAGCGACTTATTATAATCGCGGCTTTGTAGTGGCTCGTTCCTCCAATCCCTGCTCCTCCACACACCATGTGATACTTCATCCAAGAGGCTCCACCCCATTGTAGCAACATGTGATGACAGGTTCACTTCAACTGGAGAGCTCCACCTTCATGTTCTGCGGGGGTGGGATGATAGGGGTGGAGCACCACCTTAGGGAGGGGGGACAATATGGGTGGGGCACCACCTTAGGGAGGGAGGATAGATATGGGTGGGGCACCACATCGGGGCTGGAAGGGGCTAACAAGATCGAGACAGGGCAAGAGAGAGGAGGTGAGCACAGACACCAATTACACCCACAGGGGAGGAGAAGAGGAGCTGGGCCTGCACACACAGAAATTAAACACTCCCAAAAGAGGACAGGAAGGGAGGAGCTGGGCCAGCACAGACAGACAATTCCAGAAAGAGGACAGTAAGATGAAGGGGAGAGTAACTGGGCCAGTAGTGACAGACACTTTCAGAAAAGGAGTGGGGGCTAGAGGAGCTGGGCCAGCATAGACACTTCCAGAAAGAATGGGGGCTGTAGGAGCTAGGTCAGCACGGACAGACACTCCCAGAAAAGGAGTGGGGGCTCGAGGAGCTGGGCCAGCGTGGACAGACATGCCCAGAAAAGGAGTGGGGGCTGGAGGAGCTGGGCCAGCAGCAAAATAATTAAAAACCGAGAAAAAGGAGAGAGGTGAAGGGCAGAACACATAATAGCCACTCCCCTAAAAGGAAAGGACGAGATGTAGCTAGGTCAGCACAGACACTCGCAGGAGGGGAGGGGTGGGAGGAGCTGGCTCCGCCCATACAATAAAAAGCCACAGAAGAGGAGCTAGGGCAGCATTGAAGAGAGAGGGGAAGAAAGCCACAGGACAGGAACAGTCAGGGAGCAGATGTGGCCCTGGGGCTGCATTTTCACAGCTCAGGGTGAAGGCCTCAACCACTCGGGCATAATAAAGGGTACCTGTGTGACAAGGGCTGGTCTGTCCCCAGGACTGCGGAGGCACCTCATGCCGGCCCATTCATGGCTATTGGGATGTAATGGCCGCTCAGAGAGCCCCAGCCACTGTGTCTGAACCGGCAGGAGTGGGGCGCCTGTGCATCTCATGTGGGCAAAACGCAGCTCCACCCACAACTACAGATTTATGTATATTTATAAATATTGGACAATTTTAAAGTTTACTGTAATACAATTGAGCATTCTTAACATGTTACTAAACCCGGCCCCCGCCTTCCCTAGAGCCGGCCTCTCCAGACCCCACCTTCCCTAGATCCGCTCACCCCGGCCCCCGCCATTCCCTAGCTCCGGACTCCGAACTGAGCATGTGCAGAGACTCCTAGGCCTCTGTACTATCAGCAGGTGGTCTGGAGGCAGAAGGGGAGGATCAGAGAAGACAGAATCAAACAGCCTTTTTACACAATGCAGAGGATTAACCCCTTAGGTTCCATAGTGAGTATAACCAGCATGCTTTACTGCATCTACAGACTGATTGTACTGTTGTGGGTTTAGTAACTTTGATATAGTAAGGAAAAAATATTTATTTCAGGTACTTATATAGCGCCATCAATTTACACAGCGCTTTACATATATATTGTACATTCACATCAGTCCCTAACCCTCAAGGGGCGTACAATATAAGGTCCCTAATTCACATTCATACATACACATACCATAGACAGTTTAGACAGGATCCAATTCACCTACCAGCATGACTTTGGAGTGTGGGAGGAAACCGGAGTACCTGAAGGAAACCCACGCTGGCACAGGGAGCACATGCAGTCTCCAGGCAGGTGGTGCCGTGGTTGTGATTTGAACCAACAACCCGAGTACTGGATGGCAGAAGTGCCAACACATAATAGTATGTAAAAGAATGACATTTAGAAACATACAAAAGCTGTGCTGTAACCACTTGCCAGCTGCACGCTGTGGCTTTACTGCTGCAGTGCGGGCCGACTGCGCACAATCACAGATACGGGATTTGCCTTTCCAGGTGGGGTGGGGAGACACCCACCTACCCACACTGACACTGTCTCCTTTACATGCCGATCAGTGGACCCCGGCCAATGATTCACAGCCGGACCTAACAAACATCGGCGCAAGTGACAGCAGAGATATCTGTCACATAGTTAGTCTGGCTGAAAAAAGACAAAAGTCCATCCAGATCAACCATTTAAAAAAAAAAAAAAAAAGCAAAAGTTATCATCCTACACCCACAGTTCATCCAGAGGAAGGCAAAAAAAAAAAAAAACCCCAGCAAAGCATGATCCAATCTGCTCCTGTAGGGGAAAAATTCCTTCCTCATCCCCCGAGAGGCAATCAGCAAACAACACAGATCTCTGTGCCGCATTTAGTCCTTCCCCCCCCCCCCCCCCCCCGCCGCTGGTCTCTACCCCATTATTTATAGGTGCAAACCACTTTTTGGGATTATTTTTTTTTTTTTTTTTTTTTTTAACCAAAGGGATAACAGAATACATTTTGGCCTAAACTTACAAAGATTTTTTTTTTTTTTTTGATTGGATGTTTTATAGCAAAAAGTAAAAAAGTTTCTCAAAACGTTTGGTCTTTTTTCGGTTTATAGCACAAAAAATAAATATCTCATTTGTGATCAAAAACCACCAAAAGAAAGCTCTATTGGTGTGGAAAACGACATATATGTCATTGTGTTGCATGACCGCGCCAATTGTCAGTTAATTTCCTGGAGGTATTCCGGAGCAGGGGCGGACTGACCATTTGGAAACTCAGGCACTGCCCAAGGGCCTGGGGTCAGTAGGGGGCCCCATGAGATGCCCCTGGTACCTTTTTCATAGGCTTTTTTGAGTTTGGGCAAGGACACTGGGGCCCCATGATCCCCTATTGCCCGGGGGCCCCATGAGTTGTCAGTCCGCCCCTGTTCCCGAGTGTAGCTCGGGGTAAAGTTTCAGCACCACAAGCGGTAACCCCGAGCTACACTCAGGAATACTCTGCAGCGTTGCTCCGGGATCTCTTCTTCTCTTACCTTGTCCTGCGCGCTCCCCCAATGTCCCCCCTGCAGTGTCCCCTGCAATGTCCTCCGGCCGATTCCAGGTTCCGTTCCCTGCGACGTACAGGGGACGGAACTGGCGGGAAATTTAAAAATATCAAAAAGTGACATTCACTAAATACACTAAAATCACATAGTATAACATTCCTGTATCAAACCATTTCACATACATTTTGTCCCGAGTGCTTTGTCCGGCGCCCTGCCTGCTTTTTTACTGTTCTTTCTGCCTGGAAACTGAGAAACGTCCATTGCGTCCAAAAAGCGTCCCTTTAGGTCAAAAGCGGTTTTAGACCGGCTAGAGAACAGCGATAGTAAATCAGAACTACTTGCAGAATTGAGTGATAATGATTCGTGGGGGAAATTCCTCATCAGACACTGAAAATGATTCTGCGACTTTGCTCAGTGATGTGCGAACTTGGCGCTATATTTCACATTTCAGTGTTTTTGGTTTGAGTATATTATTGAATTAAATTTATTATTATTATATTATTTTTTATAATTATTTATTAAATTATATAATTTATGATTTCGTGTTTCAAGTTTTATCCTACCCGGGATGTTTACTAGACTCTTGTTCGGACAGATTTCAGTGAGTTATTCCTAAGAATTACAGGCCTACAATAAAAAAACGACATATTTCCATGCAAAAAAAGTACCGCTTTGAGCACAGAAATACGGACATAATCAGACTGCTAGGGAGGCTACAGTAGCACAGTGCAGTATAGCAAAATTTGATCTGGTCACGAAGGGGGGGGGGGGGGGGGGGGGGGGGGGGGGGGGGGGGGGGGGGGGGGGGGGGGGGGGGGGGGGGGGGGGGGGGGGGGGGGGGGGGGGGGGGGGGGGGGGAGTTTCCGGACGTACATTCGTCAGTAGCCTCAGAGGGCGTTAATCCAGTTTGTATCAAAACACCTTTGCAAACATAGATATTACCCTGTAAAATTAGCAGTGATTGCACTGGCTATGTACAGCAGAGTAGTGCTGAGTAGGACTGTGGGAGGGACTCAGCAAGCTCCACCCACTACAGGCTGCCTGCAATGAACTACAAGGGGGGGCGGAGACAAGACCGGCTATCCTGAACAAGGAGAGAGCAGCAGTGAGCGGTCTTTATTACAGGAAGCTCTGCATAGAGGGGAAGTCTCACCCTGGATCACTACACAGATCTGGAAGAAATACACAAAGCACCCCAAGATGGAAGAATACACGATGAATGTACTTACACCATGCTAGTTTACCCCGGAGTTCAGCTTTAACCCCTTGCCTACAGGGCACTTTCACCCCCTTCCTGTCCAGGCCAATTTCCAGCGCTGTTGCGCTTTGAATGACAATTGCACGGTCATGCAACACTGTACCCATATGAAATTTTTATAATTTTTTTGAGACAGATTAATTTTGGTGGTATTTAATCACCTCTGGAATTTTTATTTTTTTCTTAAACCAAAAACCACTGAAAAATTTGAAAAAAAAAGTTTTAGTTTTTGTTTTAAAATTTTGTAAATAAGTGATTTTTCTCCTTCACTGATGTGCGCTAATGAGGCTGCAGTAATGGGCACTGATAGGCTGCACTGAAAAGCAGCACTCATATATGGCACTGATAGGTGACACAAAGGCAGCTCAGAAGAGCACTGGCACGTGGCATTGATAGACACTGACAGGTGGCACTGCTGGGGCTACACAGATCATCAGTGCCCTGATGATCAGTGTAGATGTCCCCTCCGAGGAATGCCAATTCCCGGCTCTCCTCTCCTCTGTCAGCGTGACAGCTCATGGGGAGAGAAATGCCGATAACCTGCATTTCCCTATTTACATGCGATCAGCTGTGATTGGACACAGCTGATCACATGACCAAGCCGACATCTTCAGCTCTTTTCGTCGATCGGTAATCCGCTGTGTCCGAGGGACACAGCGCACCGCCGATCGTCGCACACTCCCCAAGCCGCGTCATATGACGTCCTCCCAGAACGAGATAATCACCTTGCGCCCATCATTGGACTATATGGCGGGCGGGAGGCGGTTACGTTCATATCCTGCAAAACAAACCAGAGAGGGCCCAGGCAGACTATCCATGCACCGGGATGTCATTTAAGAGGGTTTTGACCAATCAGCATCAAGTCCCAAATCGCTGAAACGTCCAACACTGCAAACCTAAAGGGTATACTGGGGTGCACCTCTCTCTACATCACTAGAGCAGGGCATGTGATTACAGCAATGGCAGACACCACCCACTGAGCATCAGCACCGACGGACGAGAATGCTGATACAGATCATACAGATTCTTACCTGCATCTGTCCTATAGGCACTGACAGACTATGACACTGTAGAGGTACAAATAAAAGTATCTATCGAATAATGCCCCTGTGTACCTGTGTGCCACAGTGTACCTGTCACCAGCTGTAGGGTAACCTCCAAATTCATAGATGTATAAAAAGGGTTTTTTACCTGCCAAAGAATTTGTATTTCTGTCTACCCAGCCCTGAGATTTACACAGCTCTGCCACACAACACAGCCGTGTCTGCCCAGGTAGGACAGCTGATTCTGTAGCAGTCCAACACCTCCAGGTCTCATCCCTTCCCCAGTCTGTGAAGGAGAAGCAGCAAACTGGTGAGTTGACCTCTCTGCTCTCTCCTGCTGTCCACATGCTTGTTAGCACATGAGCACTCCAGCTGCAGATTGGTTCCTTGTGCTGCTTCTCCCGCTTCCTGTCTGAGCTCAGCTGCATCTTGCAGTCCAGAGGTGCTCACACTGCTTGCATTGTAAAAATACAATTATTAACCGATTCCACGTCGCCCTATACCAGAAATACTTCTACAGGGCGGCACGGGTGCACAAAATCATTCTCGCACTCACAGTTGTGCTCAAAAGTTTGCACCCCCTGGCAGAAATTGTGACATTTTGGCATTGATATTGAAAATATGACTGATCATGCCAAAAAATGCTCTTTTATTGAAGGATGATGATCACATGAAGCCATTTATTATCACATAGTTGTTTGCCTCCTTCTTAAATCATGATAACAGAAATCACCCAAATGGCCCGGGTCAGAAGTATCCGCCCCCCAGATCAGAAGTCTCCGCCCCCTGGAATGTTTGGCCTTGGTACAGACACACAAGGTGACACACACGGGTTACAATGCCAATTAGAGGTTAATGTCCCACATATGTGGATTTTTAAATTGCAATTAGTGTCAGTGTATAAATAGTCAATGAGTTTGTTAGCTCTTACGTGGAAGCACTGACTGGGCTAGATACTGAGCCATGGGGATCAGAACACTGTCAAAAGTCCTGCGTAACAAGGTAATGGAGCTTTATAAAGATGGAAAAGGACATAAAAAGAGGTCCAAAGCCTTGATTATGCCAGTCATCACTTCCACTAAGAAGCAGAAAGTTCGGGATCTCTTGATACCAAGCCAAGGTCAGGTAGACCAAGAAAGATTGCAGTCACAACTGCCAGAATTGTTCAGGATACAAAAAGAAACCCATAGGTAACCACAAGAAAAATCCAGGCTGCTCTGGAAAAAGACAGTGTGGTTGTTTTGAAGGAGCACAATATGATGACACTTGAACAAAAATGAGCTGCATGGTCGAGGTGCCAGAAAGAAGCCTTTACTGCATCAATGACACAAGAAGGCTCAGTTAGGCATGTCAAAGTGTTGTCAAGCATATTGTAACCGGGCTTTTTTGTGGCATTGGTGCAGTAAAGGCTTCTTTCTGGCAACTCAACCATGCAGTTCATTTTTGTTCAAGCATCACCGTATTGTACTCCTTAAAAACAACCACACCATCTTTTTTCAGAGCAGCCTGTATATCTTTTGAATTTGCCTGTGGGTTATTCTTTTGAATCCCAGACAATTCTGCCAGTTATGGATGCAATCTTTCTTGGTCTACCTGACCTTGGCTTGGTATCAATAGATCCCCAAACTTTCCATTTCTTAATAGGTGACTTAGTACTGATTGGCACATTCAAGGCTTTGGACATCTTTTTATGTCCTTTTCCATCTTTATAAAGTCCCATTACTTTGTTACGCAGGACTTTTGACAGTTCTTTTCTGCTCCCCATGGCTCAGTATCTAGCCTAGTCAGTGCTTCCACGTAAGAGCTAACAAACTCATTGACTATTTATACACTGACACTAATTGCAATTTAATAAGCCACAGATGTGGGACATTAACCTCTAATTGGCATTTTAACCCATGTGTGTCACCTTGTGTGTCTGTACCAAGGCCAAACATTCCAGGGGGCGGAGACTTATGATCTGGGGGGCGGAGACTTCTGATCCGGGCCATTTGGATGATTTCTGTTATGATTTAAAAAGGAGCCAAACAACTATTTGATAAGAAATGGCTTCATATCATCATCATCCTTCAATAAAAGAGCATTTGTTGGCATGATCAGTCATATTTTCAATATCAATGCCAAAAATGTCACAATTTCTGCCAGGGGATGCAAACTTTTGAGCACAACTGTGTGTGTGTAATTATTATATATAGATATATATATATAAATAAAACACACACTTCCAGGTAGGGGTGCACGCCCTACCTGTGCCGGCACCCAGCGATCTCCAAGAATTACCAGAGGGGAAGAGAGCTGTGTATAAACAACACAGTTCTCTCCCCTGCCAGCTCCTGCACACTGCTTTGTATGGCTCTGCATAGCCCACAGTGTAAAACACACACAGAGCACATAATGTAAAACAGCACACAGTTTACCCTTTGATCGCCCCAGATGTTAACCTCTTCCTGCCCAGTGCCATTAGTACAGTGTCAGTGCTTTGTATTAGCACTGATCACTGTATTGGTGTCACTGGGGATGTCACTGACACCACTTCAGTCCCCCCTCAGTGTTAGAATGCCCGCCATGTATCTATACCGCCATTTGTAAATGCTATAACTTTCACATAAACCAATTAATTTACACGTATTTGTATTTTTTTTTTCTTTTCTTTTAGCAAAGACGTCGCAGAATACATTTTGGCCTAAATTTATGCTGAAATGTGATTTTTAAATTTTTTCTCTGGACAGGTTTTATAGCAAAAAGTCAAAAATATTTTTTTCTCAAAATTGTCGGTCTTATTTGTTCAAAAAATAAAAACTGCACAGGCGATCGAATACCACCTAAAGAAAGCTCAATTTGTGTGGGGGGGGAGGGGAAAGAATGTAAATTTAATTTGGGTGCAGCGCTGCATGACCACACAATTGTCAGTTAAAGTAACGCAGCGCCGTAATGCAAAAAATGGCCTGGTCAGGAAGGGGGGGGGGGGGGTAAATCCTTAGGACGGAAGGTGGTTATGTGTCTGGATACAGAGCGGCATTTATTTTGTGTATTATGTCCGTCTAGAGCAGTGGTTCTCAACCTGTGGGTCGCGACCTCTTTGGGGTTGAAAGACCCTTTCACAGGGGTCCCCTAAGACCACCAGAAAACACATATTTCCGATGTGTAAAGAGCAGCTACTGTGTTGAAAGCAGCTACTGTGCTGAAAGCAGCTACTGTGTTGAAAGCAGCAGTATTGGAGGTAAAACGACACTCATGAATTATAATTACTGGGTAAATAATTTTATGGTTGGGGGTCACCACAACATGAGGAACTGTATTAAAGGGTCACGGCATTAGGAAGGTTGAGAACCACTGGTTTAGAGGTCAGCTTTACACTTGAAGATCTCCCCGATTCTTTGTGATCTCGTTCACCCTCCTCCGCCTCTCCGAAACGAGGATTTACTTTTGTACCCGACGGGGTGAATCTAGCTTCAGAGAGGCACACAGACGAGGGGTTTCTTGAATTTTTTATCGTCATAAATTGAGGCAAAGGGCGAGGTGAAAATAAATGTGTTTTTATTTATTAGCAGCCGACAAACCCCCCCCCCCCCCCCCAAAGCGGAGATGGTGTCAGAGGAACTCAAGTTCATTGATCAATGAGAATTTTCCAGGGGTTTGTAGAAACTTAATAAAAGACGTCAGACAATCACAGTCCGTTCTTCCAGCTCGGTCCGTCCTCACGTCATGCCGAAAAGAACGTCGGTTTAAGGCCACTCTGTTGACGAAGCCCCTCCCACAGCGCCAGGAATGTGATGTCATCTGGGAAGGCAGGCCGGGGGGGGGGGCGCTCCATTCCCAGTGTTCTGGTCCCACATGTCCAGCCTTGTTGGCCCCACCCCCCAGGGATCTCCACTTTGGGCCGGGCTGACTCTTAGAACAGAATAGTAACATTAATGGTTTACACCGCCATTGGCGGTCGCTTGCACGTCACCCCAGTGCCAGACTGAGGGGATGCAACATAAACGACGGCCACACCACCCTCGCGAGAGACACGGACAGCCACAGGAGACAAAGCGGCTGCCTTCAGAAGAGGAGACGAGACACATGAGGACGGGGGGGGCCATAGACGACAATCCACCCCCCCAGTGGTCCCATACATCTCCAGCCCCTCCCTAGCCAGCGGTAGAAATTGAGACCCCTCAAACAGCACCTTATTAGCACCTGTGCTGCTTCCCGCCACCTGCGCCGGCTGCGACGATACGAATGCTTTAAAAGACGTAGAAATGATGTGAATAGCTGCCCAGGAATCGGTTCTCCGCAGAGCGAAGCCGGATCCCAATGAGCCGTGCAGGGAAGCCTCAGACTTGGAAACGTGCAGTCTTCAATGGTCCCATCCCAATAAATAATATATAAAAAGGAAAAAAAAAATATACATATATATATATAAAAGTAATATCATCTCCACCCAGATGGAAGGGGACAGAGGGCAGAACACGGCTCATCTCTCCTGGCACAGAGGACCCAGCTGATGGAAGTGGCCCCACACAAGGGGTCCCAGTGCCCACCCAGCGGACATCAATCTTCAGTTTCCTCATATGTGGTCTCATCGAAGGGCCGGTCCAGGAGAGGCACAAAGTGATGGCGGGAGTACTTTAACTGAAGGAGGTCTCCAACTTCACTGATCTTGTTCAGTGCCTGCGGAAACAAAGCCTGGAGTCAGAGTTCAAAGAGGGAGGGGCACAGAGGCCACTATACAAGAAGAGGGAGGAGCAGAGGATGGAGGGCACCATGCAGGAAAAGGGAGCACAGAGGCCACTACACAGGAAGAGGGAGGAGCACAGAGGCCACTACAAAAAGGGAGAGAACGGAGGACACTATGCAGGAAGTGGGAGGAGCACAGAGGACACTATGCAGGAAGTGGGAGGAGCACAGAGGACACTATACAGAAAAAGGGAGGAGCACAGAGGACACTATAAAACAAAGGGGAAGAACAGAGGACACTATGCAGGAAGTCGGAGTACAGAGGACACTATACAAGAAGAGGGGAGGAGCAGAGGACAGAGGGCACTATGCAGGAAAAGGGAGCACAGAGGACGCTGTGCAGGAAGGGGAGGAGGAGGACGCTATGCAGGAAGGGGGAGGAGCACAGAGGACGCTATGCAGGAAGGGGGAGGAGCACAGAGGACGCTATGCAGGAAGGGGGAGGAGCACAGGACGACGCTATGCAGGAAGGGGGAGGAGCACAGGACGACGCTATGCAGGAAGGGGGAGGAGCACAGGACGACGCTATGCAGGAAGGGGGAGGAGCACAGAGGACGCTATGCAGGAAGGGGGAGGAGCACAGAGGACGCTATGCAGGAAGGGGGAGGAGCACAGAGGACGCTATGCAGGAAGGGGGAGGAGCACAGAGGACGCTATGCAGGAAGGGGGAGGAGCACAGAAGACGCTATGCAGGAAGGGGGAGGAGCACAGAGGACGCTATGCAGGAAGGGGGAGGAGCACAGAGGACGCTATGCAGGAAGGGGGGGGAGGAGCACAGAGGACGCTATGCAGGAAGGGGGAGGAGCACAGAGGACGCTATGCAGGAAGGGGGAGGAGCACAGAGGACGCTATGCAGGAAGGGGGGGAGGAGCACAGAGGACGCTATGCAGGAAGGGGGAGGAGCACAGAGGACGCTATGCAGGAAGGGGGAGGAGCACAGAGGACGCTATGCAGGAAGGGGGAGGAGCACAGAGGACGCTATGCAGGAAGGGGGAGGAGCACAGAGGACACTGCAAAAAGAGGAAGGAGCACAGAGGACACTATACAGGAAGAGGGAGGAGCACAGAGAACTGAGGGGAGCGCCATACAGGAAGAAAAAAGGAGCACAGAAATCTCTATACAGGAAGGGGAGTGGGGACACCATACAGGAAGGGGAGTGGGGACACCATACAGGAAGGGGAGTGGGGACACCATACAGGAAGGGGAGTGGGGACACCATACAGGAAGGGGAGTGGGGACACCATACAGGAAGGGGAGTGGGGACACCATACAGGAAGAGGAAGACTGCCATATGAAGAAAAAAGGAGCACAGAAATCTCTATACAGGAACGGGAGTGGGGACACCATACAGGAAGGGGAGTGGGGACACCATACAGGAAGAGGAAGACTGCCATATGAGATGACGAAGAAGCACAAAAATTGGGAGGGGAGGCAGAGACAGAGATGGAATGGGGGGGGGGAGAGACAGAGATGGAATGGGGGGAGAGATACAGATGGAATGGGGGGAGAGATACAGATGGAATGGGGGGAAAGAAGACAAAGATAAATGGTGGGGACATAAGAAATGGGGAGTGGAGAGAGACACAGAGGGGGGGGGTGGGGGGCAGCAGGTATGGAAAGGGAAAGAACGGAAGAACATGACATGCTTACAGAGAATCTTAAAGGAAAAACTGTACTGAGAGTAACCAGCAGGCCACATTGCTGACCTCCTCTTGAAATGATGTTGGCTGTGTGTCATGCTGATCCTGTGGTCTTGATACTTTGAGGTTGTGACTTGGGTCAGCATGCGGCAAGTGAAGCTAGATCTCCAGACCTACACACATGCTGCAGGTTAGTAACTCGAAGTGTTGGAGAGTGGATCAGCATGAAACGCAGAAAAAAAAACTAATTAGGGGGTCGGCAATGACCGCCTCCATTTTTTCTCTCGGTGTAAGCATCCTTTAGGTCATCTCTAGCTGCAAACATCTGGGGCCCCTGACAAGAAATGCCTCTGCCACAATACAAGTTCAGGCCCCAGATTTGCTGTTCCAATTGATGGCAGATTACCCTTGGCCCATGGCAGCCATAGTGCCCTTATAAGAAGCCTGTGGTGTATCAGCAGCAAGATAAACTCCGATTGGCTGCCAGAGGTTACTTGAGTTACAAAATAAACCCCAACAGACAACAATGAAAGCTGGTAGGACACAGAACACTCACCAGGTCCAACATCTCCCTGGTATGTGCGGCCGACACACAGAAGCGAGCTCTGGACTCAATGATGGGGGTGGCTGGAAATCCCACGACCACAACACCAATATTCCTCTTCAGCATTTCTCTCCCGAATGCCCTATGGAAAAGAGATGGGTCAGCACTGTGAACCTGGCTGGGTCATCACTTCTGATCTGGGGAGGGGGGGCACAATCTGACGGGACCGCGTATTACCTTGGGGATGAACATGTCACAAATCGCACCCAACCCCCACTCTGCTGGATCTACTATGATTAAAGGCCCTGTCCCCTGACCTCTGGAGCCCCCTCAGAAGCGGCCAATGATATTGACTCACATCAGTCAGGGGCAGATCACAGTCATCGGGATGAGACGCAGACCGCTGTCATGGCCCTTTGCCGGAAAACAGTCTTAGCATTTTCAGAAAGCTGGATAATCCCTGCTCATGAATATCTAATAACCTGGCTGTCCCACAGATTCATGTGCTGGAATTCTCTGGGGACCCTTACAGATCAGGGGTCCTGATTTTACTGACTGCATGCTTGTTGTAGGTCAGTGTTTCCTTGCTCTAGAATAGCATGCACCAGAAGCACCAGATGAAGTGTCGCTTGGCACTGATAGAAAATGCTGCACCGTGCAATTGTGGAGGATCCGCAGTCCTCTCACAATCGCATCTCACACTACAGAGACTCACCCGATCTTTGCTGGCATGTAAAGCATTAACGGGACCACCGGAGAGTCGCTGTTGCCATAAATGATGAAGCCCATCTCGGTCAAGCGACGTCTGAAATATCGCGTATTCTCAGCCAACTGCTCCACCCGCTGCCGACCTGTACAGAAAAAGAGAGATTGTAAGCCACCATACCAGGACAGAGACGTCCACAAAATGCCAAGATATATATTCATTACATGAGGTTTGCAGCACAAAGCGGATACTATTCACGAATCAAATAAATACAAAGCAGATACTATTCATGAATCAAACACAAAGCGGATACTATCCATGAATCATATAAATACAACGTGGATACTATTCATGAATCAAATACAAAGCGGATACTTTTCATGAACCATATAAATACAACGCGGATACTATTCATGAATCAAATACAAAGCAGATACTATTCATGAATCAAATACAAAGCAGATACTATTCATGAATCAAATACAAAGCGGAAACTATTCATGAATCAAATACAAAGTGGATACTAGTCATGAATCAAATGAATACAAAGCAGATACGATTCATAAATCAAATGAATACAAAGCGGATACTATTCATGAATCAAATACAAAGCGAATACTATTCATGAATCAAATACAAAGCGGATACTATTCATGAATCAAATAAATACAAAGCGAATACTATTCATGAATCAAATACAAAGGGGATACTATTCATGAATCAAATACAAAGCGGATGCTAGTCATGAATCAAATACAAAGTGGATACTAGTCATGAATCAAATACAAAGTGGATACTAGTCATGAATCAAATACAAAGCGGATACTAGTCATGAATCAAATAAATACAAAGCGGATACTATTTATGAATCAAATAAATACAAAGCGGATACTATTTATGAATCAAATAAATACAAAGCGGATACTATTGATGAATCAAATACAAAGTGGATACTATTGATGAATCAAAATACAAAGTGGATACTATTCATGAATCAAATACAAAGTGGATACTATTAATGAATCAAATACAAAGTGGATACTATTCATGAATCAAATACAAAGTGGATACTATTCATGAATCAAATACAATGTGGATACTATTCATGAATCAAATACAATGTGGATACTATTCATGAATCAAATACAAAGCGGATACTAGTCATGAATCATATAAATACAAAGCGGATACTATTGATGAATCAAATACAAAGTGGATACTATTCATGAATCAAATACAAAGTGGATACTATTCATGAATCAAATACAATGTGGATACTATTCATGAATCAAATACAATGTGGATACTATTCATGAATCAAATACAAAGCGGATACTAGTCATGAATCAAATACAAAGCGGATACTATTCATGAATCATATAAATACAAAGCGAATACTATTGATGAATCAAAAACAAAGCGGATACTATTCATGAATCAAATAAAGGATTAAATAATAACCAGCAATATCTCAGTCTTCCTGGGCTCTGAGTGTATTTTATATCTTCCCAACAACTCAAGTGATAGAGGGATGTGGATGACCTCAAGCCTACAGATAACAATCCACAGCAAGTTTCTAGCGTGTATTTACCATCATTTTGTTATGGAAGTTACATAAAAAGGTAATTGGACTTTTTTTTTCTAACATGGAATACAGGGAATACTCCGATATGGATGTGCAGTAACTCCTTACATAACTCTGGAGATAATCGCCAGTCTGCTATATAAAGAAAGCGACAACGGAAACCCCTGTGCACAATCCCTATCGATATTAATTGTCAGTTCGGGAAAACGTAAATAGGATTTACCAGCGATTAATCAGTAATCCTATTAAAGGGGGGTCAGAGGTCACCTGGAACTGCGTCACTGCGTCACCCCGTGGCGAGGAGAGGCGGCGAGCAGGCAGAGCTTGTGTGTCACCTCACAGCGGGCGCAGCTGGGATAAGGAATGCACATTGTATGCGAGGAGACGCATGACCGCACAAGGTATAACGGACGATAAAACGCAGCAAAAACACCTCTGTGCTCGACTCGCAGAAATATTAGATAATCGCTATGTGGTGAGTGACACCGACAAGATCCCAGAAATATTCCAAACCTGTATCTGACCAAATGTACATCCAGAGCCGCTGGTTTCCAGCCATGCAATGGGAGCGTTCCCTGCTCTGCCCCTGAATTAGGCCTCATTCAGAGTGGATAGGTTGCCATGTTCAAATGCAGCCGAACACCGTATCAGGACGCAGCTACACGCTGTGATATGGACGCATACATACTGGACAATTAGTTGCGGCAAAAACGACACCAATGGACACAGACTCTGGTTGCATAGGAAAAAAAGGGCCCCTGGAAGCACTCCAATACGTTTTTGCATGTGCACAACAGTGGCGGCAGTCATTGACTTGTAGGGTACAAATCAGGCCGTGGCCTTCCTGCACACATTGGATGATTAACACTGGAGAGAACAGCTCTGCATACTAACCATTCAACTTCCATTTTTTTTTTTTTTTTTTTGTCAAAGCTTAATTGAACAAGCTGGAGTTAGAAGCCGATTGGCTGCCACACAGAGCTGCACTCCGCCGTTTAGTACATCAATCCCACTGTGAGCATGGGGACAGTTTCTTTCCTGGCAAGAACTACAGATTTTCACTAGGGCCCTGTAAGAATGGGCCCCTAGATGTATTTGAGGGCGTCTTAGATTGTAAGCTCCTAGGAGCAGGGCCCTCCTAACCCTCTTGTATTGAACTGTATTGTCTCCCGTTTATTACTACAGGTATTTTTTATATAGCACCGTCAATTCACGCAGTGCCTTACATATATATTGTACATTCACATCAGTCCCTAACCCTCAAGGGGTGTACAATCTAAGGTCCCTAACCCTCAAGGGGTGTACAATCTAAGGTCCCTAACCCTCAAGGGGTGTACAATCTAAGGTCCCTAACCCTCCAGGGGCGTACAATCTAAGGTCCCTAACCCTCCAGGGGCGTACAATCTAAGGTCCCTAACCCTCCAGGGGCGTACGATCTAAGGTCCCTAACCCTCAAGGGGTGTACAATCTAAGGTCCCTAACCCTCAAGGGGGGGTGTACAATCTAAGGTCCCTAACCCTCAAGGGGCGTATGATCTAAGGTCCGTAACCCTCAAGGGGCGTACAATCCAAGGTCCGTAACCCTCAAAGGGCGTAGAATCCAAGGTTCGTGACCCTCAAGGGGCGTAGAATCCAAGGTCCGTGACCCTCAGGGGGCGTAGAATCCAAGGTTCGTGACCCTCAAGGGGCGTAGAATCCAAGGTTCGTGACCCTCAAGGGGCGTACAATCTAAGGTCCCTAACCCTCAAGGGGCGTACAATCTAAGGTCCCTGACCCTCAAGGGGTGTACAATCTAAGGTCCCTAACTTACATACATTCATACATACACATACTAGGGACAATTTAGACAGGAGCCGACTGCCCTACCAGCATGACTTTGGAGTGTGGGAGGAAACCAGAGTACCCACGCAAGCACAGAGTACATGCAAACTCCAGGCAGGTGGAAGTGCTAACCATTTAGCCACTGTGCTGCCCGTTATATTGTAAAGCACTGAGCAAACTGTTGGTGCTCTACAAAATCCTGTATAATAATAATAATGTACTCCAGCACTGTGTATGTGACTTGGGGGGCAGGACTGAGACTCAAGGGACCCTCCAGTTTTTTTTTTTTAATCAAACTGTGCAAAGGTAATGCCACCCCCCCCCACCCAGGAGACCCACCAGAGGACAACTGTGCAGGGCAATAAAAGGTTAACACACATCCTTCCACTAAGAGGATCATCTCCAGACTCTGAGCACTTTTCCCGTGCCAGTTATGTCAGCAGATACAGAGCATCTCCTTACGTCACATGACCTCGCCATCTGCACACGATTATTCTTCTTCTTCTTCATTTCCACCGTCCCATTATCTCCCTGAAAAAAAAAAGTAATGCTGACGACAGGCCAATACTCCACCAAGAACGACAGCTGACGAGGCATCTGCCGACCCTTGACGCATTTCCACACTGGTGGGACCCGCCGTCATCTTCTGCCTGACCCAGCCGACGACGGATCTACGCATACGGACAATCTGCTCCATTTGCTGTCAAGCTCACATAAAGACTGATAAATGGGAAAAAATAAAACATAATCCCTGGCCATTATCTCTTCAGATACTCAAAAGGCGTCTTATCACCTTCCCTATAGACGGCGGCAATCAACCAAAATCAGCTGCAGTGCAAAGATCTGCCTGTGTGTGTGATCAGAAGAGGAATACAGATACCGGAATAGTGAGAGTCACATAGACAGATGGCATCAGGACCAACAACCAATCAGGATTAATGAGGGAAGGAAAAAGTGTAAGGAGATCTCTGCCAGCAATGACAACTGAACCAAAGGAGCTTACACTCCAATGTCCTACCATGTCACTATCAGGGGCGGACTGACCATTTGGAAACTCGGGCACTGCCCGAGGGCCCGGGGGTCAGTAGGGGGGGCCCCATGAGATGCCCCTGGTACCTTTTTTTCATAGGTTTTTTTTTTTTTTGGGCAAGGACACAGGGGCCCCATGATCCCCTATTGCCTGGGGGCCCCATAAGTTGTCAGTCCGCCTCTGGTCACTTATTATATATTTATATAGCTCTGACATTCTGCAGTGGAGAAAAAAACATTGAGCGGGGCACATCAGCCTCTGACTGTGGTGGGGCAATAGAGTGTAAGCTCCTCTGGTGCACACCCTATTGTTCTACATGTACCGTGCATTGATAAAGTATTCAGACCCCCTAAACTTCATTTTTCTCGTATGTTGCAGCCTGATAAAGCAGTTTGTTTAACACCTTCCCGCCTGACCTATAGCAGATTGACGGGACACTCGCCATTATGACTGGGCGTTATAGAATGTCCTGTCACAACGAGCCACGCAGCGGCGCGATCTGTCATCGGTTGTGTCGACAGGACAAAGCCGATGACATATCACTACACCGGCCCATTGCCAGTGTCATGTGAATGCTGTGATCAATCACATGTCAATTATATACAATGGATGACTTCCTGTCATGCCATCCATTGTATACAATTATGTGGTTAGCTGTGACTGGTCAAGGCAGTCACGTGATACAGACAGGGCCAATCACTGCCCATCTGTATCATACCACCAAAAGAAATCTCTATTTGTGTGAAGAAAATGATAAATATGTCATATGGGTACAGTGTTGCATGACCGCACAATTGTCATTCATGATGCGACAGCACTGAAAGCTGAAAAATTGGTCTGGGCAGGAAGGGGGTATAAGTTTCCGATACTGAAGTGGTTACATTCATTTTTTTCTCTCATTAACCTACATTCAGTACCTCATAATGACAAAGTGAAAACAGAATTTTAGAAAAGTTTGCAAAATGTATGAAGGAAAAAAAAATGGTATGACTATTCAGACCCTTTGCAACAACACTTGAAATTTAGCTCAGGTTCCTCCCTTTTCTCTTGCTCTTTGCTGAGCTGTTTCTACACCTTGATTGGGGCCCACATGGGGTAAAATTCAATTGACTGGACATGATTTGGAAAGGCACACACCTCTCTATAAAAGACCCCACAGCTGACAATGCATACTGTATCAGAGCAAAAGCCATGAGGTCAAAAGGAACTGCCCGCAGAGCTCAGAGACAGGATTATGGCAAGGCACAGATCTGGGGAAGGCTATAAAACATTTCTGCTGCACTGAAGGTTCCCAAGAGCACAGTGGCCTCCATAATTCTCAAACTGAAGAAGTTCAGCAACAACTAGTACTCTTCGAAGAGCTGGTCGCCTGAATTAACAGAGCAATGGGGAGGCCTTAGAAAAGAGAGGTGACCAAGAACCTGATGGTCACGCTGTCCCCATCTCCATACAGGATCTGCGGAGCTCAGTCAGTTCCAGAAGAAGGACAACCATCACTGTAGCCCTCCACCAATCTGGGTTTTATGACAGAGTGACTAGACTGAAGAAACCAGGCACCACTCATCACCTGCCCAATACCATCCCAACAGTGAAGCATGGTGGTGGAAGCATCATGCTGCGGGGATGTTTTTTCAGCAGCAGAGACAAGGAGACTGGTCAGGGTTGAGGGAAAGCGGAATGCAGGAAAATATAAAAAAAATATCTCCAATGAAAACGTGTTCTACAGCGCTCAGGACCTCAGAATGGGCCAAAGGTTCACCTTCAAAAATGACAACGATCCTAAGCACAAAGCCAAGACAACACAGGAATGGTTTAGGGACAATTCTGTGAATGTCCTACAGTGGCCCAGCCAGAGCCCCGACTTGAAAACAGTGGTCCGCTGGATGTGGCCCTTTGCTGGCTTTTCTCTGGTCCTTGGGGAATTGCCGCCCCCCCCCCCCCCCCCCACTGTCAGCAACAAGGGGGCATAGCTCCCGCCACTAACCCCAACAAGGGGGCATAGCTCCCGCCACTAACCCAAACAGTGGGGCATAGCTCCCGCCACTAACCCAACAAGGGGGCATAGCTCCCGCCACTAACCCCAACAAGGGGGCATAGCTCCCGCCACTAACCCCAACAAGGGGGCATAGCTCCCGCCACTAACCCCAACAAGGGGGCATAGCTCCCGCCACTAACCCCAACAAGGGGGCATAGCTCCCGCCACTAACCCCAACAAGGGGGCATAGCTCCCGCCACTAACCCCAACAAGGGGGCATAGCTCCCGCCACTAACCCCAACAAGGGGGCATAGCTCCCGCCACTAACCCCAACAAGGGGGCATAGCTCCCGCCACTAACCCAACAAGGGGGCATAGCTCCCGCCACTAACCCCAACAAGGGGGCATAGCTCCCGCCACTAACCCCAACAAGGGGGCATAGCTCCCGCCACTAACCCCAACAAGGGGGCATAGCTCCCGCCACTAACCCCAACAAGGGGGCATAGCTCCCGCCACTAACCCCAACAAGGGGGCATAGCTCCCGCCACTAACCCCAACAAGGGGGCATAGCTCCCGCCACTAACCCCAACAAGGGGGCATAGCTCCCGCCACTAACCCCAACAAGGGGGCATAGCTCCCGCCACTAACCCCAACAAGGGGGCATAGCTCCCCCACTAACCCCAACAAGGGGGCATAGCTCCCGCCACTAACCCCAACAAGGGGGCATAGCTCCCGCCACTAACCCCAACAAGGGGGCATAGCTCCCGCCACTAACCCCAACAAGGGGGCATAGCTCCCGCCACTAACCCCAACAAGGGGGCATAGCTCCCGCCACTAACCCCAACAAGGGGGCATAGCTCCCGCCACTAACCCCAACAAGGGGGCATAGCTCCCGCCACTAACCCCAACAAGGGGGCATAGCTCCCGCCACTAACCCCAACAAGGGGGCATAGCTCCCGCCACTAACCCCAACAAGGGGGCATAGCTCCCGCCACTAACCCCAACAAGGGGGGCATAGCTCCCGCCCACTAACCCCAACAAGGGGGCATAGCTCCCGCCACTAACCCCAACAAGGGGGCATAGCTCCCGCCACTAACCCCAACAAGGGGGCATAGCTCCCGCCACTAACCCCAACAAGGGGGCATAGCTCCCGCCACTAACCCCAACAAGGGGGCATAGCTCCCGCCACTAACCCCAACAAGGGGGCATAGCTCCCGCCACTAACCCCAACAAGGGGGCATAGCTCCCGCCACTAACCCCAACAAGGGGGCATAGCTCCCGCCACTAACCCCAACAAGGGGGCATAGCTCCCGCCACTAACCCCAACAAGGGGGCATAGCTCCCGCCACTAACCCCAACAAGGGGGCATAGCTCCCGCCACTAACCCCAACAAGGGGGCATAGCTCCCGCCACTAACCCCAACAAGGGGGCATAGCTCCCCGCCACTAACCCCAACAAGGGGGCATAGCTCCCGCCACTAACCCCAACAAGGGGGCATAGCTCCCGCCACTAACCCCAACAAGGGGGCATAGCTCCCGCCACTAACCCCAACAAGGGGGCATAGCTCCCGCCACTAACCCCAACAAGGGGGCATAGCTCCCGCCACTAACCCCAACAAGGGGGCATAGCTCCCGCCACTAACCCCAACAAGGGGGCATAGCTCCCGCCACTAACCCCAACAAGGGGGCATAGCTCCCGCCACTAACCCCAACAAGGGGGCATAGCTCCCGCCACTAACCCCAACAATGGGGCATAGCTCCCGCCACTAACCCCAACAATGGGGCATAGCTCCCGCCACTAACCCCAACAATGGGGCATAGCTCCCGCCACTAACCCCAACAATGGGGCATAGCTCCCGCCACTAACCCCAACAATGGGGCATAGCTCCCGCCACTAACCCCAACAATGGGGCATAGCTCCCGCCACTAACCCCAACAATGGGGCATAGCTCCCGCCACTAACCCCAACAATGGGGCATAGCTCCCGCCACTAACCCCAAACAATGGGGCATAGCTCCCGCCACTAACCCCAACAAGGGGGCATAGCTCCCGCCACTAACCCCAACAAGGGGGCATAGCTCCCGCCACTAACCCCAACAAGGGGGCATAGCTCCCGCCACTAACCCCAACAAGGGGGCATAGCTCCCGCCACTAACCCCAACAATGGGGCATAGCTCCCGCCACTAACCCCAACAATGGGGCATAGCTCCCGCCACTAACCCCAACAATGGGGCATAGCTCCCGCCACTAACCCCAACAATGGGGCATAGCTCCCGCCACTAACCCCAACAATGGGGCATAGCTCCCGCCACTAACCCCAACAATGGGGCATAGCTCCCGCCACTAACCCCAACAATGGGGCATAGCTCCCGCCACTAACCCCAACAATGGGGCATAGCTCCCGCCACTAACCCCAACAATGGGGCATAGCTCCCGCCACTAACCCCAACAATGGGGCATTAGACCACTCTGCGATCCCAATGATAGGACTAGTCCTCCCACTACTGCATGTAGATTAGTGAGAAAAAAATTTACTTAAACAACTGTGGTATCAGGCTGCAACATAACACTGAACATAACACTGGGGTCAGAATACTTTATGAATGCATTATATATCGCACCGACATATGCCACAGCACTGTTCAGAGAACACTGAGCCAGCCATATCCATCACTGCACCAGAGGAGCTTGCACTCTAATGCCCTACACTATTATTATACATTTTATAGTTCTAGTCTGTATTGAGACACTTATAAGAATTATCCCAATAGCATCTGATCCCCCCGCCTCTCTTATATAAGGGGGCCAGCTGCTTTATTCCCTATGGTAGGGGAGTAAGGATGCCGAGAGCTCACATTTATGTACGGGACTGTGGAGGCTGTTACACCTACAAATATGTCCACCCCGGGAGAGCTATGTGCACCTCAATAAATGGCGAGATGTGAACTCCGGATTTCGTACAATGGTGGACATGGCACAATGCTGTGTTGGAGAGAGGAATAAGGAAAGTCACTGCAGAGATAGAGCGGCTCCTCTGGCTCCCGGCCCGTCTCTCATTCCGGGCCCCACACAATCTGGAATCAATTTTTTTTTCTTCCTCTGATCTTGCAGGCCTGTAATTGCATAAAGAGAGGCCCCTGCGTCTGCCCGGGGGTAATTATCAGAGGATGTGACGGGTCAGGGATAAT